CAAACCATCTATGATACTCTAATCCTAAGCAGACCCGTCACTGCACAGGGCCGGGCCATATTTCCATAGCCCCGGATTCCCATCCTGCTGTACCAAACCTGGATATTTACCCCAGACAGCCGTGAACTTCATCAGACCGTGATCTTTGGCTCTCCTACTCCGTAGAGCCTCAGTGGACATGGCTGTGCGCAGGCTCTCCAGGACCCGTGCGCGTAAAGCTTGCAGGGTGATCACCCTGCCCTATCGACACCGTTCATTTCGAAGGGTCCAAATGGCCCAGAGAATAGCCGCTCGTATTACCTCCAAGACATAGAGCTCCCCCTTGTCCTTCCTATCCACCTTGACCAGGGCGCCCAATAAAATGTGTGCCACATCCTCCTCCGTGACAGAGAAAGGACAGTACTTTCCTACTTCTGCGGCCCACCACATCCAAAACTGTTGGAGAACCGGACAGGCAACGAAGAGATGAGGGATGGTTTCCGCCTGGCCGCATCCCGCAGTACAACGCTCATCCCGATAATTGCTTTTATTGGCCTGCCATTGCGCTGTGGGGACCGCCAGGTGGTAGATGAGCCACAAAAGACCTGCCTGCTTCTGATTCGACAGAGACTGCAACACTGCACACTGCTCTCTCCATTCCCTCTGTCGCCACCGGTACAGGTAGATCACAGGAAGCCACTCTCTTTTGGCCCATCGATCCACCAGTTCTTCACGCAGATCCAATGGGGGGAGGAGGGAGCAGTATATGACCCTGGTAGTCACTTGAGGGAGCCAGACTTTTTTTTTATTGTAATTCTGCTTAGGCCAACTCCATTCTTGCGGGTCAATCGCCAGCTCTTGCCTTGTACTGCAAATCCGAAAGGGCCGGGCACTTCGCAACCCCCCCTCTGTTTTTCTTCTCTGCGCATACCGCCACCGTCTCAACGTCCTCAGTTCTCCACCGAATCTCCGCAGCAGGTCCTACTCTCATTGGGGCTCCCAGACCCTCTTACCCAGTCACCACATTCCATGCTCGCGTCACCACCTCCTCACCCTGTACCTGAGTGATCTGGTATACCTGCAGGGGGTGTAACTCTCCCTTACGTCTCACCCATTCTCCCCCCACGCTATGGTCCTCCCTCAACGTGTCCACCCACTGCGTGGGAATAGCCCGCTGAAGGGCAGATAGGTGTTGCCGCCTCCGGAACTTGTGAAGGAGCCGCACCGCCATATCAACCTCTTTCCTCCAATCCCTCTCTTCCTCGTTCTACAGGTGCCCAATCTTAAAAACCCCACATTCCGCCCAATGCTTCCCAAAAGCTCCAGGCTTCCCCTGCCATGGGAATGGATCACCCGTATCGTCACATATGCAGGGGTTGTCAAAGAGGAGTTGATTATAGACATCGTCCGCGGTGACCGGTAACTCCTGTTGTAATTGGATCTTCTTCCACAAAGTCAGCGCAACAGACCAAATCTGGTTCCTCTTGACATGGCTAATGAGACTTGGGCTGGCCAATGCCACTAAGACCATTTGCTCTATCATGCCAAGCACCAGGGCCAAATGCTGAGCGGTAAGGCTCTTCCACGCTGTGCCCGTCGTCCCCACCAAAAACCACAGCAGGTTACGCAGCTGAAGCGCCGTCATCTGCAGTTCTGGGTCCAAGATCCCCAGCCCCCCTTGACTCCTGGGCTGGGTGAGCTTTGACCAAGCCACCCTAGGGATTACCGACTCCGCTTCCACATCTCCCGCCCACAGGTATCTATGCACCGCTGCCCGCAACTGCCGGAAAACCCGCCTCTTCGGCATGTGGATGGCCCCAGCATACCACATCGTGGACAGCACCGAATTTTTAAGGACAAGGGCCTTGCCAAAAACTCCCAGATGCGTCCTCTTCGCCCATCGCCCTAGCCTCAAAATTGCTGCCGCCGCCAATCCTTTCATCTGCTGAGCACCCCCTCCCACCGGATGAATCAGGGCCCCCAAAAAACACAGGTTTTCACCATCCGCCAAGGTAGGCACATCCCAGCCTTCAGGGGCAACATAGCCCTGTGGGAGGATGGCCTGCGACTTCCGCCTATTCACCCTGGCTCCTGAGTATAGTGAAAATAAATCCAGATCCATTTGGAGGCGCCTTAATTGCTGTGTGGTAGGAGGGATGACTGCGCCGGTGTCATCTGCAAAGGCAGTGGACTTGAGGATCATATCTGGTCTCAACTGCAGTCCCTGCAAAGCTTCATCCCCTCGGAGGAGGTCGTGTAGGGCCTCTATGTAGATGACATACAGAGCAGGTGAAAGCGGGCATCCCTGCCGCACTGATCTGGTAAGTTGCAAAAACCCAGAGCGCACCCCATTCACTTGCATACACGTACGTGCTGCAGTCAGGAGCAGTCGAGTCCAGTTACAGAAAGTTTCCCCAATGCCCCGCCGATGCAGACTTTGAAAGAGGAATTCCCATCTCACCCGGTCATAGGCTTTTTCAAGATCAATTGTAACAAAAGCCAGCGGCTGATCGCAGAGCTCCTGGTGCCTAAGGATCTGTCTAGCCAGCATAATGTTTGAAACAATCTGCCTCCCTGGAACAAACCCCGCTTGAGTGGGGTTGATAATACAAGGGAGCACCTCATTAAGCCGGTTCGACAGTACCTTAGCGAGGATCTTGTAGGGAGCATTGAGAATTGATATCGGGCGCCAATTCCTGACGTCCTCACGGGCACCCTTCTTATAGATCAGCACCACAAAAGCATCTGCAAAGCCTTCCGGGAGGTGTCCCGCGTGCAAGGCGTCATTAAAGGCCCGCATGAGGAGTGGACCAAAGAAATGACTCTGGGCCTTATACATTTCAATAGGGACTCTGTCCACCCCCGGCGCCTTGAGTCTTGGTAGCTCTCCAATCGCCCTAAGAACCTCTTCTAGCGTGATGTCCCTCTCCAAAGGCTGCGCCTGCTCCTTAGTGAGGCCAGGCGGGACGTGCCTCCAAATGTGCTCCAGCGGGGTCGTCGCCATCTGCTCCACAGTCCATTCCTCCTCCTCCGTAAACAGATCTGCGTAGAAGCCCGTTACACAGTCCAAAATCCCCAACGTGGTCTCTTGCCTCGCCTGCCGCAAGTCAAAGGGGGCGTCCATTGCCGTCATGAGGGCAATCCCCTGCTTCTTTCCCAGCTCTCTAAAAAAGCGTCGAGACATCTTCTCACCCACCACAGTCCATCCCACCTTTGATCTGCGCCCCCAGCGTGCAGTTTCCACCGTCTCCCACTCTTGCCACTCCCGCACGGCCTCCACTCGCTCCACCCACCATTCCTCTTCCGTCTGCTCATCCTTGGGGCCACAATTAAGCGCACTAAGGCGGTCGGCATACTCCTGTCCTGTGGCCAAGTGGGCACGGTAACTACCGGCCAACCTATCATGCAGACACCTGCGCATCAGAGCATTGCCCTGCGCCACCCATCCCAACTCATCCATTCCTTGGGGGCGTCGCGGCAACCAATTATCCCAATGTTGTTGAATCAGAGGTTTATATTCTTCGTCTTGAAAGACCCATGCAGGAAGGGACGGTTGTGGGTGACCCACCATAATGTCCCCCACCGGGAAATTGGTTGCAACCTTTACATGATCTTACAGCGCTGTTGGAAGGTAAGCAATCTCGCTGCCGCTCCTGAAGATCGAATTCGAAGCCCATACCATGTCAATCCGGCTCCTTCGGTTTGCCGATCCATACCAGGTGAACTCCCGTCCCGCAGGGAAGGCCGTGCGGTAGACGTCCACACAGTCCAATTCTGCCATAAACAACTGTAGCGCCTCCGCATCTGCCGTGGGCGGGCGTTCCTGGAGGGAATCCAGCCCCGGTTGGATAGTGGTGTTAAAATCCCCGGCAAACACATAGCATTCAACTTCAGGGATTTGGGTTCTGAACTCCGCCCAAAGGTCAATCCACGCGCGGGAATCCGAGGGTCCATATACCGACACCACACACCAGCGGGTCCGCCCCCACTGGAGCATCACCCAGGCCCATCGCCCCTGTCTGTCCCAGTTCCAGTCCACCAATTCCCCTCGAAAATGGGGGGATATCAAAATAGCCATGCCCCCCTGCGTTCCTCTATCAGTTACTCCTTGCGCAGGGGCCCAGACCTGAGGTCCCTTCCATCAGGGGGCATCATGCAAACAGAGTCCTTCCCCCAACTTAGTCTCCTGGAGGCAGAGAACGTCGATCTGGTGTTTGCGGACCGTACGCTGCAGCTCCCATTGCTTCGGATTTAGAGAGCGAGTCGACAGGCCCTTCACGTTCCAAGTTAACAGCTTGAGCTTAGTTGATCGGTTTCTACGATCCATTCCGGCAGCCCCAACCAGACGGGTGGAAGAAGAAAAAACAACAGATTGTAAACAACAAACCAAGCAAAAAACAGACAAGCAAAAAGTAGTCAAAAAAGAAAAAAGCAAACAAAAACAAGCAAAAATACAACCGAAAAAACTACCAGATTTACAGCACTAGCTATTCTACACTAGAGGAGGGAGTGCACTCACCCAAAGGCACTCATAATTAACACAGCACACCTAAGTCTAACCCTGCTACATCCTATCCTCCGTCGCCCACCAACCTTTAGCTTCAATAAAGTTCCCCGATCCCAGACGCTGGTTCATAGGTAGCATAGAATTGACTTTGGCCAAAATCCCTGCCGTAAACTCGTTGACAATCCGATAGTCAGTCGGGGTGGCACGGGGGCCAAAGACCTGATCCAACTTCGTCCAAGTAGCATCCTTGTGAGCCAAGGTTAGAGAGCCCGCTCACCGGGGGGTGAGGGATGTAAAAAAAAACAACAGCCCATACTCCATCCCCCCTCGCAATTGTCTGAAAAAGCGTCCCACCGAGACTTTGGGAAGCACTTTCACTCTATAGTTAGGACCCACCCAACGACTGACCTGTCTGATAATATTCGGGTTCTTGGGGAGGGAGCGCGCAGCATAGATGAAAAATTCCGTATTGCCTTTCGTGACCACCTTAATGCCTTGCTCCGCCCACCATAGCATCACCGGGCAGACATAACACTCCCCGGCAGCTAATATTTCCTGTAGCGATCCCTTCACCGTTGTAGTAATATCCATATCTGCTTCCATCCCCTCATTGATATCCATGTCCTCATCCATCGCTCCGCCCCTGTCATCCGTCGAGTCCCCACCTTCCTCCCCGATCATGGGCTCATCCAAGTCCGGGGCAGGCTGGCGGGTTTCCGCATCCTCCCTGCCTTCCGCCAGCCCCTCCTCGGCCATCATATTCTGCAAATCCTCTTCTTCAATGCGTCTTCGCTGCAGGGACACCCATCGGTCTTCGTCTTTAAGCGGCTGCACCTTACGACCAGCCGGGGAGCGGGACCGATCCCGCCTCTTCGGTTTTGCGTCCGCCTGTGCCTGCAGCTCGCATCGCGCCTCTTCTCAATCGGACTGGATCGCCCCTGCTGCTTGCTGTAAGGGAATACCTACCTTCGCAGGGCTCGATATGGGCGGCCCCGAGGTCAACTGCTTCTGCCGACGTCTCAGCATGCCCACCGATCCACTGTCCGATGACACAGCAGTGGGATCACATTTGTGGGAGGGGGGAGGAGGGGGGGGGGGGGGGGAGAGGGCTGACAGGCTAGCTGCGAGGTCCACCACCACCACGTCGCCCGATTCGCCTTCGTTCGCGTCCCCCTGGAGTGAGATATGCACATTTGTTGACTCCGCACCCGTTTCTGTACAACCATAAGGGATAAGGAGCCAGCATTCCTGCTGCTGCCCAAGAGGTGGTTCTCCATTCCTCGATCTATCCCCGGACCCATCCTTTTCCTCCCTTCCTCCCCCGCCCACCTTCTCCTTCCCACCACTCTCTCCCGTCCGTTCCCATTCCTGCCCTGCCCCTTGAATCGCCTCACTCTCCCCGATCCTTCCTTCAGGCATACATTCCTTGCTACTTCCCCCCAACAGCGCCTCCTCCCCAGCCTTCCTGTCTGTGTCGAACATCACTTGCTTATCATCTCCCCGTGTCTGCCCTCCCCCTGGGAGCATCTCACTCTCCCCCACCTTCTCCCCTAGCGTGCTTTCCTTTCTATCTGTCTCTTATACACATCTAGATGTGCCTCTTCGGCATGTGGATGGCCCCAGCATACCAC